CCCACCCCCCACCCCCGAAAAAAACCTGCTGTCTACAGGGTCAGGCATTTCATTTCAGTCAAAACCAGCAGCACAAAGGAGGCAGTAGAATGCAGGCAGGAGTTTGTTTGAGACCAGCTCTTGATGTATTGATAAAATAAATCTTAGATATAACATATATCACATGGTTTAAATAGAGATGCACCCACCCCCCAACACCCCCTCATGCTACAACTTGGAATTGTAACACAGAGGGCCCAATGGGGTCAGAATTACACGGGATTATTAGTATTTTGGACTTCAAGCAAGATCCAGGCCTACATCAGGCCATTCTCTCCCTCCATTTCTGTTCTTCTCCCTTCCCCTCACAAGATCATTACTCCCCCTGCCCCCCTCACCAACATAACACACTCAGAGGTTACTGGTGCAGAGGAGAAAGGTCCATCCATACACACACACACACACACAGACAGAGACAGAGAGAGGCCTCCTGTGAGTTCGGGCCTACCCGTTGCCGTGGAGACCAGCAGGCCCAGCCACCCCGTTCAGGCCTGGTGCTGCTCCTCGGGCCCGAGCTCTCCCCCCAGGTCGATGGCGTTGTCCCGGACGAGCTTGGCCTTGGCAAGCCCCCTGGTGCTCCCCGGGCCTGCGGCTTTGTAGACAAAGTGGTAGTAGTCAGAGGCCTCCCGGCCCCCCTGCAGGCCGGCCTTGAGCTGCTGCGGGCGAGAGTCGGGGGGCAGCAGGCTCCAGTTGTCGTCCACCACCAGGAAGAGCCCGTGCTCGGCAGGACTCTGGACCTTGAACTTGCGGGCACAGAGCCGGCACACCTCCTCTGTTGTCTCACATGGCCTCACCACCAGCGTCTTGGCTGTGCAGCCGTTGCCTGGGTCGTGGTAGGCCACACGCAGGAAGTTCTGAGGAGAAAAGCTGGATTTAGACCAGGAGCCATCACCACAGCGACCCAGGCTCCCAAAAGGCCTGTCGACCATCGACAAGGCACAGGTGGGGAGGGCGAAGGCCTAGTGGTATTCCCTCTCGTTTATCAATCCAGAGACAGAGAGCCAGTGCGTGTGTGGCTACCCTGGTAAACATGAGGCGATGTACTCTGGAAGAAGTAAGAAGACCAGGGAGTACTCAG